CACTGGGAGTCTGAGAGCACTGTAAAACCTGGAGTGGATCAGACTGCTGTGCACTGGGAGTCTGACTGACAGCACTGTAAAACCTGGAGTAGATCAGACTGCTGTGCACTGGGAGTCTGACAGCACTGTAAAACCTGGAGTGGATCAGACTGCTGTGCAAGGGGAGTCTTGACTGCTGTCCCTTGGAAGTCAGGTTATGCAACTGTCAATGTCCAAGCTGGTGATTAAACAGGTTTGTCTGGCAGTATATCTGGCAGTGCCGGTGTAAAAACTGTATATTCCTGATCCTTTTTCTGTCAGCTGAAAAGATAGCTGGGGCCAGAAACACATTTTAATCTCCCCAACTTTATTTCAAACGGTGAAAGACAGGTGACGATTCTGCCTAGATCCCGGGTTCAGACACGCAGCCCGACCTCCAGCTGACCGGAGGCCCGTTGCCCCCGGTGTTCCCAGCGCCCAGATCCGTTGTCCCGGACACAACTCCGCCGGCCGCTGTGGGCAGATGGGACACCGTGCTCGGGGAGACAGGGGAGCAGTGCTCGGCAGGACGACGGCCTGCGATTCCGAGATCCGGAATCCAGCCCGCAGGGAGGTCCCCAATCCAGCAGGTTCCCCAGTCCGGGGAATCAGACACCCAGAGCCGCGGAGAAGGGATTGATCTTTCCCCTCGAGTCCTGCCCCGTCCCCCCCCTGGGGTGCTGGAGTCGGGAATCCCTGGATTATCTCCTCTGGAGGTAGAAGGCTTTTCCCAGTCGGCTCAGCTCCTGCGCGTACTGCCGGTGCTCCTGCTCCAGCAGCTCCTGCAGGGCGGCGTGGCGCACCTGGGGAAAACAGACGCCGCAGCCCTCCTCAGCGCGGTGACAACACCCCCACCTGGTGTCGCCCGCCGGTATGACGGCTCAGACAGCTCCATCAGCCCTCTCCCTCCCTCCTTCCCCTCTGTCTCTGATTCCTACCCCCCCCCCCGCCTCCCATCCCCGCTCACCAGCGTCAGAGCGGCGCGCGCCAGTCTGAGCTCGCCCTCCTGCGCCCGCTTCAGGTTCCGCTGGTCCCGGGCTGAGCCCGCCTGAGACGAGCTCTGGAATTCCACCTCCGTGGCCAGAGCCTTCATGCTGCGGCGGGAGGGAGAGAGAAGACGACTAGTCAGGGGGGGTCAGTCACTGCGCACCTGGGGTAACAGCTAGGGGGGGGGAGGAGGGAGAGGGTGGTGGGGTGTGAGAGAGGGTGTGTTACCTCTCTAGTTCCTCGGCTCGGGTCTTCAGTTCTTCATCTTTCTGCAGGAGAAAACAGAGAAGCTGGATCAGTAATAGACAGAAAGCAGTGCTCTGCTCAGAGGTGCCCCGCTGTCCTAAAAGAGGTGTCCTCTCCTGCGCAGTGAGATCAGGGTAAGAGCACGGTACAGTGCAGTACAGCCCAGTGAGATCAGGGTAAAAGTACAGTACAGTGCAGTACAGCCCAGTGAGATCAGGGTAAAAGCACAGTACAGTGCAGTACAGCCCAGTG